TCTACTTATTAAATGTTAATTCTACCTACAAAAATACACTTTTCAGGAACATGTAGAACAGTATTGGATGAAATATCTGAATGCCATGACCTAGCCAGGCTAACACATAAAATTAGCCACTGCAAGTACCCACTTGGCTTCTTTTCACACAGAGCTTCATTAATTCAATAGTCCAGATGCAGACAAATTCAAATTCAAATTTAAAAGACTGAAATTAGCTGCTCTCCAAATGGCAAGTATTGATAAAAAAAGGAAAAAATATCAAGAGATCTCTGGGTGCCCAAACCCAGGAGTAACAGAAAGGGACTCTGCTATCTTTGAAAACAAACTTGAACTCACACACAACTTTGCCAGCATCACTTCTCATCCCTGTGCTCTTACAAGGAGATGTTGCCCCTTCTGCCATTAGGGGGCAGAAGTAGTCAAGAGAGACTTTAGGGGCCGGCATTCGGCACAGCAGTTAAGATGTTGCTTGAGATGCCTGCATTCCATATCTAAGCGCCTAGGTTCAAGTTCCAGCTCCACTTTCAATTTCAATTTCCCACTAATGTACACTCTAGGGGGCCCCAGGTGATGACCCAAGTAACCCTGCCACCCACAGGAGAGACATGGATTGAATTTCTGACTCTTGACTTCTGGCTGGCTCAACTCTGGCTGTTGTGGCTGTTGTGGATTTGGGGAGTGAACCAGTGGATGAGATATCTGTCTCTCTTGTCCCCTCCCCACCTTACAAATAAATAAAAGAAAATAAACATTTAAAGAGGGAGAGAGAGAAAGGGAGATGTTTTTCCCAGAAGAGTTGATATTTAAACTAAATGTTGAGTCACAGACAGGAGTACCCTTGGCAGAAGGAAGGGCAAGAAAAGATCATTCCAGACTCTAAAGGTCAAGGAAGTAATTAATTAAGACAAACTGGGAATTCGTGACTCTGGGGAAGGCACAAAGTGTTCCCTATGGCTGGAGCATAGGGCACAGTGGCTAAACATGTACACAGTGAGGTGGAAAAGTACATTTGGGGTCTTGTTCCACATGGATGCTTGGACTTAGCAGTGACCAACCGTGGAAAGGCCAAAAAAGGCTTGGGGATGGATTACAGTGGGCCGAGACTGGAGTCAAGAAACCATCGGTAGGTGACCAAAGGGTGCTGGAGAGAGATGATGAGGCCTGCAAGTGAGATGAGAGAGGAGGGAACAGCACTGGGAAATACAACAGGGCTACAGTTTTTAAAATGGTTATTTACTGGGGCCAGTGCTATAGTACAGTAAGTTAATCCTCTGCCTGCAGCACTGGGATCCCATATGGGTGCCAGTTCTAGTCTCGCTGCTCCTCTTCCACTCTAGCTCTCTGCTATGGCCTGGGAAAGCAGTGGAAGATGGCCCAAGTGCTTGGGCCCCTGCACCCATGTAGGGGACCCAGAAGAAGCTCCTGGCTCCTGGCTTTGGATCAGCTCAGCTCTGGCGGTTTGCAGCCATTTGGGGAGTGAACCAGTGGATGAAAGACCTTTCTCTCTGTCTCTACCTCTCACTGTCTGTAACTCTACCTCTCAAATAAATAAATAAAATCATTTAAAAATGATTATTTGTTGATTGTGGAGAACAACAGGCAGAGAGGAAGGAGGGTGGCCTGAATACTTGGGTGTCACTGAGAGAGAAAACACAAGAAAAGGAGAAGATATGGGGTAAAGAATTTCATTTTGGAATGGGAGCTTTCAGAAGTGGTCTGTTCAACCAGTGGAGCTGCCCATCTTCTAGTGCACCACACAGGCCTAGCCGAGGAGAACACAATCACCATCACCACCACAGAGTGAGACATGCCCCTTCCCATATTCCTGGCTCACATAAACTCAGGATTCTTATACAGTGCAAAACAAGGAGGAGAGAAGCCCCTTAATTAGAATGCTAACCCATGTCTTGCTAGTATTTACATATGGTGGACTAACAAATGGATTATGTGTAGTGATATAATTGTTAGGTAATAGTTTCATCTGACTCAAGTTAATAATACCAGAACTCTAAGAAATCAATGGTGGTTCTATTTTGCAAATCATTTTACAGAGACTAAGTACCTCATCCAAGACCATCCAGCTAATAAGTAGCCAAGGCTGAAGTCAGTCCTTGGTATTTGAGCTGATTATAGACATTATACTAAGGCCAAGAGAAAAGAGCTACTCAATCTAATTCTAAACAATTTTTTAAGGGCTGGCACTCTGGCGTAGCAGGTAAAGCCGCCGCCTACAGTGTCAGCACCCCATATAGGAGCCAGTTCAAGGCTCGGCTGCTCCACTTCTGATCCAGCTTTCTGCTATGGCCAGGAAGAGCAGCCCAGAGAAGATGGCCCAAGTCCTTGGGCCCTTGCAGCTACGTGGGAGACCCAGAAGAAGCTCCTGGCTCCTGGCTTCAGATTGGCGCAGCTCCAGCCATTGCGGCCAACTGGGTAGTGAACCAGCAGATGGAAGACCTCTCTCTCTGCCTCTCCTTCTCTCTCTAACTCTTTCAAATAAATAAATAAATCTTTAAAAAAATTAAAAAGATGGCTTAGAGCTCTGTGGGCTAGGCTGGAGGTTAGTTTTCTTTCCTTGTGTGATGCTTTTGAGATCTTTGGTGGTTCCTGGGCATTGGGACTCCTCTCTGCAGCTCCCAGTAGATTACGTTCACTTGATTGACGTAGGAATAATGGAGCTACATATATTGGGGGTGGATGTTTAGCATTCCTTCTGTTCCTTCTCTGCTTCTTTTTCACAGGAGGGGCAGGAATCCTTAGAGATTCCCCTTTTGGCAAGTAGTTTCTTTTCTCTAGTCTACTGCTTCACTAAGGATCTAGTGATATAGACCATTCAAGATTTTCAGCTTAAAGTGCGAATTTTAGCTTTGTACAAGCCCATAATATGATCTTCCATTCCCCTGTAGGATGCTAATCCCCAAATCTCTAGAATTCTGAAGCCACACTGTATGAGTTCAAACACAGTCTCTATCACATAGTGATGTGTTGCAGTTGATTTCTCAACAATGTTGCACTGGGTTCGTTTCTGAGAGGAGGAGCGTGGTGGGGGCAAGAGGCGGGGAGTCACCACACAGATCCCGGGAGCCGGGTGAAAGCAGGCTTGAGGCGAGCAGCCCGCAGATTCATTTATTTCAGTTAGTACAACAGCTTATATAGCCAAGACCAGCCAATCTGGTCAAGGGGCGGTCTATGCCCCAACCAATCACATCCTGTTGCCAGGCAGTTTCCAAAGCTATCCAATCACAGCCTGTTGCCAGGCAGGCTCCGTTTGCCATGTGGGTTTCAAAGCCATCCAATCACAGCCTGTTGCCAGGCAGGCTCCATTTGCCAGGTGGGTTTCAAGGCCATTCCTGAGTAACTGACGCTGGCTTGCCAGCGGCCATCTTGGCATTGCCTTCTCATTCCACCAAAGTGATGGACAAGCTACTTAATTTCTCTGGCTTCTCCTTCTACAAAGTAGATAATGGTAATAGTTCCTATCTTGTGGGACTGTTATCAGTAACAAATGAGCTGATATGATTAAAGTACTTGGAGCAGTGCCTGGCCCACACACATTGCTCTACAACTGATTGTACCCTTGCTGGGTACTGTCATATGCCTACATGCTAATGTAAGGCTCATTCATCTGGTTTTAGCTCACTTACTTTTAAAATGGATTTTTAGCATTTCTTTTATTTGCTTTCATCTGAGCAACACTGAAAATCGTATCTGTTATCATTTATCCAGATTTGAATTATAGTAGCTGGGCTTTTTGACTCCTTGGTCCCTGCATTGTGCAAGCTGAGCTGAAGGGAGAATCCCAATGCAGAGTCAAGGCTTTGCCAGGGGCCCCGGGGTCCCTTTAACATTGTTTTTTAAGATTATTTATTTATTTGAGAGGCAGAGTGACAAAAAGAGGGAGACACACACACACACACAGATATTGCATCTGCTGGCTCACTCCCCAGATGACAACAGAGCTGGACCAGGCCAAAGTTGGGAATGTGGAACTCCATCCTGGTCTCCCACATGGATGGCAGGGGCCCCAGTACTTGGACCTTCATGTGCTGCTTCCCAGGCACATTAGCAGGGAGCTGCATCAGAAGCAGAGCAGCCAGAACTCAGAACCATGGTTCTGATATGGGATGCCGTCTTCACAAGCAGCAGCTTAGCCCACTGCACCACAACACAGTACCCCCCTTTAACATTTCACGTGTTCTGGGGGAAAGGGTGGACACAGAACAATAAAGAGCTGTTTGGGTGCAGGCTTTCTTTAGAGGTGGGATGGTGAGCCCCACTTTATGCTCAGGGGAAGCCCACCCCATCTGCTCTGACAATCCCCAAAGGAAACAGTTTCTGTCTTATTTCCCTGACTCTTGGGCTGTGTGTAGTTACACATTACAGCATGCATATCCTCTAACCTCTCACTCAACTGCATATCCTTAGCACACACTAGGTCTCAGTACCTGTTTATTAAATGCATGCATGAATGAATGAGTGAGGGAAAGATAACAGAGGAAGGATATATATGAACAGTGCTCTCTTTCTATGATTTAAAAGCAAAAATGAAATCTTCCCCACAACTTCTCAATATGACAAATTTTCATGAACAAGCAAGTTGTTAAATATTCTTTAATGACATGGAAGTAACTAACTGAACAAAAAGCAAAAGAATCCAAATTGCTTGCTTCTGGGGAGTGAAACCAAGGCCAAGGATCTGTCACTTTTCTTAAAAATCTCTCTGTATTGTCTGATTTTTAACCATGTACTGTTAGACTTTTAACCATGTATATCTTGAAAAAAAAAGTTGAAATATGTAAAAACAAAGACTGGGCAATTTTTGACTTGCTATAACCTAAAGCACCCCTCTGTACTTTTGACATCAGAGGGAAAGTACATTCCTTTTTGACACTTTTTTTTTTTTTAATTTTGTGCTCAGAGTCCTGATTACCAAAGAGTGTTGACCCAAAGCCAGGTTGTCAAATAAACAGTGCTTTGAACTTTAATAAGGCAGTTCCAATGGACCAAGACTGGACTGGGCAGGGCTACTAACTGGTGCCTAAAGTAGTCATAAGGAGACTTAGTATATCCATTTACTCCACGAATCTCATAGAGATCCTCTGATAGCAAAACTCCTTTCCTTACATGTGTCTCCTCTGATCCTGTGGAGATGAAAATTGACATCCATAGTCATATTCTACCAAAAGAATGGCCAGATCTAAAACAGGTAATGATGATTAATTTGTTGAATTACTTTTGGAACATTTCCAGAGTTTCTCAATGCCTCTATTTATAGACCTTTCTCTTCTCTGAGGAATTTGATGTTATCTTTCTCTGCTCCTGGGGTGGTTTTAAATCATTTGTTAGCTCTGATTTCCTAATTTCTAAAACTGATTTTTACATTTATTTTGAAAGCATTGGATCAAAGAAGTAGTGCTTTCTTCCCCTCGAATGAAGCATTCTTTAAAATTTCTGGACAATTTAAATAAGGCAGATTTACTTCCTCTAAATCACATATTCTGCTGCTGGGAAGATACATGCCAGCTACAGAATTTAAAGATTTGTTTCAAGTAAAAGACTATTAAAAATGGAATGTGATAGGTTTTAAGGACTTCGAAAATACATCTCTCTTCCAGAATGTTTAAAATATGGTTTAGAAGAACCAAGCTTTGTGAAATTCTTTTAGTCTATTTTAGGATGCTGTCTGAAACCTTTCCTTTTTGATCTGTAAGCTGTAAATTCTTGTTATGAAGAACTAGGGAGTAGGTACATCAAAAATCCCCAGAATAAGTGACACACAAAGGTTTTGCACAATGCATGTCTCTAAAGAGTATTCTCTATGCTTCTCTAAAGATGGAAATGTCCTTTGGTCATTAAGAACTTTTGAAGGAACACTCAAAGAGGAAGGTGGGAAACATGACAGAAATTTTAAATTGGCTTAGTGTCAGGCCTTCCCCAGTCTTTGGCATTTTGCTAATACTTTCACACCACTGAAAATGTTTCATCTCTTTTGTCCCAAGTGGGAAAAAAATGAATCAGCCTCAACTCTAATTAAAATGTGGTTCACTGTGCAAGTAGATCCAACTATTTAATTCTCGTGGTTGTCTCCTGGAAGAACATCCATCTTGAGTGTTTCACTGCCCATTGATACCTTAAGTGAGATGAGTGGTGGGAAGTGCATATTGAAAACTACAAGTGATGCGGAGCCATCTTTGAAAGCCCATCCTACTATAGCTAATGGTAAAAGCAAAACCTATCCTTCTATGGACACAGTCCTGCAAAAGGAGTCTAAATACTAACGCAGGAACATGCTGTTTTGAATACTATTGTCCTCGTCAGATTTTGCTAAGGTGTAAACGCCACTTCACAATGTTGAGGATTTTATGAAGGGAATGCACCAGTTACTTCATGGGAGCAGGAGTATGACTGGCTTGTCTGGGAGCTGCATGCAGTTGTCTACTTCCTACAATACTCACCATTTCTATCCTTCATTGATGAGTAGTTGCCTAATGAATGATACAACAAATAAATTTGTTAATTTATGACACAGGCTATGGAAGGAATGGTATATTCCCCAATCTGAGAGTTTTAGAAAAAATCCAAAGTTTAGCATTTGGTATTTTACAATAGCCCTTGGTATATCCCAGCAAACAGTATTAATTCAACATGATGGTTTTTCTCTTCATTTGCATTTCAAAGAACATGCACATGAAATGCTCTAGGAATCACGATAGTCTTTAGAGACCACCACCTACCTGAACACTTGGCCAAGAAATCTGGCCAGAATGGCCCATCCTCCAAGACCATGTTAGAACAACAGGGGCTTAAAGCTCCATAGCATTCACATCCTCATCTGGTCAAAGGATTCTGAGGCTGAAAGAGTCCTGTGGTCTTATATGTAGTCATATGTTGAAGTCCTCATGCATAGGTGATAGTATCAGGAGATGAGGCCTTTGGAGGTGATTAGGTCATGAGAGCAAAGCCCTCAATAATGGGATTAGTGCCCTTACAAGAAAGGCCCAAGAAGTTCATCCATCCCTTCTACCATTCAAGAAGTGAGGAGGTACCTCTAGACACTGAATCTGCCAGTGTCTTGACCTTGCACTTGCCAGATTTAAGAACCATGAGTAATAAATGTCTTTCCAGTTGATGGAATTTTGTTACAAGGGCCCATATGCAAGACAGTCATAATTCAGTTGTGCAAGCAGTCATTGTTCAGATATTTCCATCACTTCAGGAAGGAATTTTCGGTTTCTTCCACAAGCAGTTAAGGTACATTGTGCAAAGAACCTGGTTGTTCTATCAGTTCTTGTTGATTTCTCAGCATGGAATTTGGACCTAAAATCAGTCTTCAGAAATTGCCAAACTGATTAAAGCCAACATCCAGAGAAATCCCTTTTCCTGGGGAACACACTCTTTAGGTTCCTTGGGAAGAATAATTGTCTTCCCAATAAACCTAGGTCCTGATGAGATATTCATTCCCTCTGGGCTTGTCCCTAAGTAAGCTGCAAGTACCAAGATTGCCTTCATATGCATTCAACTTTCACCATCTGGAAGACCACAATGCCCTAACATGGTGCTTCCTATTGGCTAAGAGGGGACAACTTGCAATCAGTAATCTGTACCACAACCTCACCTTCCCCCCAATTTTCTGTCTCCCATCCACAAGCCTGCCTCTAGTTTGAGCAGAGAACTGATCGCCAAAAGCTAGCAATTCCTAGGTATACCACCCCATGCAGGGTGCCTAAGGCATTCTTAAAACTGCTAGGAAACTGAGAGACACAGAGCATGGGAACAGCCTTACATGCATGTCCTGGAGTTTTCCCTGGGACATGTTCAGCTGGCTCTTTCCCCTCCCATAGCCACCTGCTGCCTGAGAGAGGGATGGGGGTTGTCCTGATAAGCCAACCCTCTCACATCCAGGAGTCTCAGATGCTGCAAGCAGATAAATGACACACTTCATAATGATAATAATAACAGTCAAAATACTCAGTACTTCCAAGGAGATAAATAGGTAGGCAGATAGACAGATACATATAAGAAATCTGAGTCCCCTAAAACCTTGTGACATATGCAGATAAAACTCATATTAGCAACACTGAATGATGAATGAGATGCTTGAGTCCCAGAATGGACCCTAGAATGCCAGAGTACATGAGACCACACGGTCCCTCCAGGGCATGTCCACTCCACCCACCTTGAGAAAGTGGCCCGGAACATCTCTTCTGTTGGGAACATCCTGCTTCCCTCTGCTCCCCAGTGCCTCCTCCATGACCAGCCTGTCCCCCACCCCTCATACTCACTGAGTACAGCTCCATCACAGGGTCACCGGAGCCTGGCTTCCCAGCCTTAAGTCAAGCAGTTCCGTCAGTTACATGTGAATGCTAGCAAGCTGTGGATGAGAAAACTAGCAGAAAACACAGCTGGACTTTCAAACCAGGACAAGCAAGATAGAGATACACTGAAATAGGGCTGGGACTCCCCTCTCCCACTTCCAGTCTGTATGGTCAGAATGAAATGAATATTAAAGTGACACTAAACTGGGGTGAGCATTTGGCCTAGTAGTTTGGATGCTGGTTATGACATCCACATTCACTATCAGAGTATCTGGATTCTATACCTACGTCCAGTCTTCACTTTATTAGCTTCCTGTTAATGCAGACCCTGGCAGGCAACAATGATGTTGTAGGCATTTGGGGAATGGCCAAGCAGATGGGCCCTAGCTTGATCTCTCTCTCTTGCTCTCCCTACCTCTCAAATAAATTTTTAAAGTTTTTTAAGTAACATTAACTGGAACAGAGTTTCCTCTGTCTTCAAACTGTTTCTGAGAAAAGATATTATTTTAAAACATCAGTGCCTAATCTTTTCCCGCTATTTTTTTCAAACTCCCCAATAGAAGAACGAAAAAAAAAAAAAAAGAGTAAGTAATACTTTTATTTTAAAAGAGAAAGTTCCTTTGGAAGAACTAATAACTCCTTTCAAACTGCCTTTCCTTCTTAAATATTAATAGACACACCTCCATAACTTTGACCTTCTTGTGCAATGAATCAACACACCCGGGTTGATGATTAACTACCTGTTACAAATGACCAGGGGTGAAGAAATCTTTCATTTTCACTTGCTAATGATGAGCTTAGTAAGAGTGACAGCATCCTTAAAAAAAAAAAAAAAAAAAAAAAAAAAAAAAAAAAAAGAATCCACCTGTCCACCTGAGGTGGAAAGACAACAGATTTGGGGGCATTTGGTTAAATTCTTTCTGATGAGTCAGGATTCATATTTTCTGCTGTGGCCCAAGAGGCCAGGGAGGAAGCAGTTTCAGGTTGAGCTACAATGAAATCATTTACATTAATGACGATGAAGATGAGGCTTTCCTTTTTCCTTCAACAAGACTTTATTGACTGCATTCCCTGTGCCCAGTGATAATGTCATGGGCCTGTGCATCTTAATCTTGATTCCAGGTTCTTGCTCCCACAGAGATAAGAATTCACAGCAGAGGAATAAACACAGTGCACAAGTGAAAGAAGCATTTAAGAGAGACAGAGAAAACTACACTCATGCATTCAGTGTGGACCAGCCTCCACAGATATATATCTATCATGAGTGAGCCAGAGAGTTCCCCATGTTGGGGGAGAGGGGTGGCCAGAGAAGGACCCATACATATGGTCCTGAAGCCAAGAGCAGTCTCTTTTATGAGATAGGAAGTGATGCTCTAATCAAATATACAAATTGGGTAGAGTTCAGACTACATAAGGCTTTGTGAGGGGTTCACAGCCCCTCCACTTGGAGCTTAACTTCCACATGGCCATCATGGTGTCTCCTCCTTCCTGGTCCTGGATGAGACAGGTATATCATGGGAAAGTGGGCACATGGATGGCCAGGTAAGCAGGTAGAGTTACAGTAAAGAGCTATGCAGAAATTGTCATAAAATATTCCAGCTCAACTATTCCTTCCTGATCTTCCTGCCTAGTTTACGCATATCAATAGGGCTTTCAAAGGTTCTTCTAATAAGGTAAAAAAAATTCTGGCCTTTAACTTAAAAATCAAATATTTACTTATTTTGTTAGCAATAATTTAATTGCCCTTGATCACTATAAGTTTTTTGTTTGTTTGTTTGTTTGACAGGCAGAGTTAGACAGTGAGAGAGAGAGACAGAGAGAAAGGTCTTCCTTTCCGTTGATTCACCCCCAAAACGGCCGCTAAGGCCAGCGCACTGCACCGATCCGAAGCCAGGAGCCAGGTGCTTCCTCCTGGTCCCCCATGTGGGTGCAGGGCCCAAGCACTTGGGCCATCCTCCACTGCCTTCCTGGGCCACAGCAGAGAGCTGGACTGGAAGCAGAGCAACTCTGACAGACCCTGGCACCCCAACCGGGACTAGAACCAGGGATGCCAGCACCACAGGCAGAGGATTAGCCTAGTGAGCCGTGGTGCTGGCCAAGGTTTTAAGAGACAAAAATCTCAGACAAAATTTGACTTAAAGAACCGTTCTGAGGAAAGAGATGCCTGTTTCATCACCCAGGAAGTGCATGCCACTCCGTTCATCTACGCTTACTCATAAATACCCATTTCAGAAATGTATTCCCCTGAATTTTTAAAACAGGCTTTTGGGGCCAGCGCCGTGGCTCACTTGGTTAATCCTCTGCCTGTGGCGCCGGCATCCCACATGGGCACCAGGTTCTTGTCCCAGTTGCTCTTCTTCCAGTCCAGCTCTCTGCTGTGGCTCGGGAGTGCAGTGGAGGATGGCCCAAGTGCTTGGGCCCTGCACCCGCATGGGAGACCAGGAGGAAGCACTTGGCTCCTGGCTTTGGATCTGCATAGTTCTGGCTGTGGCAGCCATTTGGGGTGAACCAATGGAAGGAAGATCTTTCTATCTGTCTCTCTCTCACTGTCTAACTCCATCTGTCAAATAAAAAACAAACAAACAAACAAAAAAACACTAGCTTTTGATTTGTCATGCCCGTGAATGCCTATGGGATGCTGGTCATTGTGAGTCAAACACATTCAAACTGTAAATGCCTCCTGGAAAATGCTGTGACCATCATCACTCCCAGAATCCTATATTTAAGATCCCAGGTATGGTTCAATCTAGGATGAGAGCTAGGGGACTATGTGAAGCCCAGACTCAGAGCTGAACAAAGTTGGCCTAAACAGATTGGGTCTCTGCTAGGAGCCCAAGACGTAACTTGAACACTACACTTTCCAAGAAAGTTGGGGAGAACACAAAGTGACAGAAAGCCTCTTCCTTCAATGTTCACCTTAGTGTCTGACTCCAGGGCACTCCACCCAGGAATAAGGCTCTCACTAATACTGCAGCCCCCACCATATCACCCCCTGCCACCACCATAAACCATCATTGCCACCACCACTGTCACCTTACTGTCCACCACAGCCATTATTATTACTGCCTCATCATCGTCATCATTGTCATTACCATCATCACCTCCACCACCACCACCATCACCATTGTTAGCACTAAAGAAACCCTCTTTATAAGCCAGGCCTGGTGTAAATTCTTTGTATGAATTATCTCAGTTAATTACCTAAGTTAATTCATTTAAAACCCTAAGTCTCAGCCACTCCTGTTAGTCTCATGTTACACATAAAGAATTTTCTTCTCAAAAAAATATACTTAAGAGAGGAAAGTTGACTGATTTCTGTATAAATACTAAGAGATACTTGGGTAGGGGGAAGATGGCAGGGTGATGCCTGAAAGGATGGGGCTCAGGACCCTGTGCTCTGAGGCTGCCCCTGACTGCTGCCCTCTCTTCTGTGTGCTTCAAGTCTGACTGTGTCTCTCTCCACTGCAGAGATTCGGCTATGGAGGCTGGGTGCAGCTCCACCACCACAGCAAGGTGAGTCCCTCTCCAAGTGGGAGCGGGAGGGGGGCCCGGGGCACCCTGAGCCTTGAGCTACCTCACGGCAGGTGCTCCAGAGAACTCATCTCCTCTACCCTCATATTAACTTTGCAGTAGGCAAGAAGGTGGCAGGGGGATTTCTCAGAATTATTAGAAAAAATGGGCATGCCTTCAAAGAGCAGCACTTAGAAAGGTGAATAGAAACTTGTGAGTCCATTAAAAAAATTTTTTTGCACTGTATCCAATTTTATCAGTTATTGCTCTGCTGCAAAGAAACTACCTGTTTTCTCCCCGCAGGCTGCCACAGTATACTAAGGCTGCCCAAATACAAGGAAGAGGTAGCTGTGAGCACACGCTAGAGAAATTAAGCTCTGCAGATGAAGGGAAGGAGCTACTGTTATTAAAGGTTTAGTCTGATAAGCACTCAGCCATGGCTGGTTCCAGTTCCTCAAATTATGGTTCGTTGGAATTGGTTCAGAAGTACCTGGAAACTTGGGGAAAATGTATATTCCTGGGCCCCACCCCACACCTACCAAATCAGGAACTCTGGTGGTGGGGCCAATAACCTCCATTAAGAAGCCCCATCCCCACCCCCAACCCCGGTTATTCCGATTCACACTCAAGTTTGAGAATCTAAGGATCAACCATTCATTTGTTCACTCACTATTTTCACTGAAACTTGTTTGGTGCCAGGCCCATCAATCTAGACACTGGAAATGTGAACTAGACATATATACTTCCTACCCTCATGGTGCTCAAATTCTAGGCAAATACAAGTCAACATGATCTACTCATAAAATGGAAGTAAAAACATTGCTCAATAGTGAGTGGTAGGCTGGCTATCCAGTGACCTAGGAAGCCCTTGGAGGATAGGAAGGCAAAGCCCAGAAAAGCATTCCTGGCTGAGGTAAAGCAGTGGCAAAGACCAAGTTTGAAAGAGGTGATTTAAGCCGACGCCGCGGCTCACTAGGCTAATCCTCTGCCTTGTGGCGTCGGCACACTGGGTTCTAGTTCCGGTCGGGGCGCCGGATTCTGTCCCGGTTGCCCCTCTTCCAGGCCAGCTCTCTGCTGTGGCCTGGGAGTGCAGTGGAGGATGGCCCAAGTCCTTGAGCCCTGCACCCGCATGGGAGACCAGGAGAAGCACCTGGCTCCTGCCTTTGGATCAGCGCGGTGTGCCGGCTGCAGCACGCCGGTCGCGGCGATCATTGGAGGGTGAACCAACAGCAAAGGAAGGCCTTTCTCTCTGTCTCTCTCTCTCTCACTGTCCACTCTGCCTGTCAAAAAAAAAAAAAAAAAAAAGAGAGAGAGAGAGAGGTGATTTGTTCTAGAATGACATTCGGTGTAAATAACACTCTGACCTCAGAATCAACCCTTAAGGCTGATCTGGCTGAAAGGCCTGTGAGAACATTTCAGGCATGGAAAGCCAAGATTCTGTGGCAAAAAAATATCCTACACAGAGGATCTCTGTAAGACCTCAGTGGAAAGAAAGGGTCTTTAAAAATCAAAGAAGGGCCGGCGCCGCGGCTCACTAGGCTAATCCTCCGCCTTGCGGCGCTGGCACACCGGGTTCTAGTCCCGGTCGGGGCGCCGGATTCTGTCCCGGTTGCCCCTCTTCCAGGCCAGCTCTCTGCTGTGGCCAGGGAGTGCAGTGGAGGATGGCCCAGGTGCTTGGGCCCTGCACCCCATGGGAGACCAGGAAAAGCACCTGGCTCCTGGCTCCTGGCTCCTGCCATCGGATCAGCGCGATGCGCCGGCCGCAGCGCGCCGGCCGCGGCGGCCATTGGAGGGTGAACCAACGGCAAAAGGAAGACCTTTCTCTCTGTCTCTCTCTCTCACTGTCCACTCTGCCTGTCAAAAAAAAAAAAAAATCAAAGAAGGATATACTCTTCTCTGAAGGGAGGAGAGAACATCCATTTTGCTTATAGCTGTGTCCAATACCGATGGAGTCTATGGTCTCAAAAGGCTTCCATAGCCTTGGCAGCCCATAGCAAGAGCCTCAGGTGATCACTGACATCATAAATAAGAGTGTTAATTGTTAGAGGAACAACAGAAGTCACTGTGCACTTACTCCTCATGTAGGACCTCCATCCCTACTGAGTTCTACTATGAGAACTGACTGCAAATTTTGTTCCCAACCTGTACTCTGTATGTTGTGCATGTGCATGGGTGCAAACTGTTGAAATCTGTGCTTAACATGGAGTTGGTCCTCTCCGCGGCTCAATAGGCTAATCCTCCACCTGTGGCGCCGGCACACCAGGTTCTAATACCGGTTGGGGTGCCAGATTCTGTCCCAGTTGCCCCTCTTCCAGGCCAGCTCTCTGCTGTGGCCCGGGAGTGCAGTGGAGGATGGCCCAAGTGCTTGGGCCCTGCACCCCATGGGAGACCAGGAAAAGCACCTGGCTCCTGCCATCGGATCAGCATGGTGCACCGGTTGCAGTGCGCCAGCCGCGCGGGCATTTGAAGCGTGAACCAATGGCAAATGGAAGACCTTTCTCTCTGTCTCTCTCTCTCTCACTGTCCACTCTGCCTGTCAAAAAAAAAATCAAACTAAAAATGAACCATAATGAAGAAGGAGAAGGGAGAGGGAGAGGGAGGTGGGATGGAAGTTGGGTAGGGGGAGGGTGGGTATGGGAGAAAGAACCACTGTATTCCTAAAGTTGTATCTGTGAAAAAATGCTTTCATTAAATAAAAACTTTAAAAATAAATAAACAGATAGGCAGTACGTTATCACTATCTACAGTCATCCTACTGTGTATTAGAAACATCTTTCTGCTATCTAATCATATCTTAGAACTTGTTTATCAGCCTTCTCCCACCCTTCCCTTCTCCTATTCTCCCTATCCTCTGGGAACCACTATTCTACCCTTAATTTTTATTCTACAAACTTTTTATAGATTCCACAGCAGTGAAGTCATACAGTAACTTATCCTTCTGTGCTAGATTATTCTACTACACATAATGACTTCCAGTTCCAGCCATGCTGTTACAAATAAGTAGATTTTATCTTTTTTTGTGGCTGAATGACATTCCATTGTGTATGGGTGCCAAATTTTCTTCATCTATTTATCAGTTGATTGATAATTAGGGTATTTCCACTTATTGGTTATTGTGAATAGTGAATGTTTGCAATGATAGATATGTTTAACATGACTTGATCATTAAACATTGTATACATTATTTAAAAACATCACATGGTACCATGTAAATATGTATAATTGCTTTGTACCAGATAAAATAAAATTAAAATGAGGTATTAAAAAAAAGAGTTGATTTGTTCAAGGAACAGAAGCAATGGGACTGAGAGACAGTCAAAGGAGATGGTAGGAAATGGGCTTGATCACACAGGGACTTGTGAGACATGCTAAGGAATCTGGTTTTTTTCTCTAAGCAATGCAAATTCTTTGGAAAGGTTTTAATGGCTTTAAAACACCCCTTTGGGGCCGGCGCCGCGGCTCACTAGGCTAATCCTCCACCTTGCGGCACCGGCACACCGGGTTCTAGTCCCGGTTGGGGCGCCGGATTCTGTCCCGGTTGCCCCTCTTCCAGGCCAGCTCTCTGCTGTGGCCAGGGAGTGCAGTGGAGGATGGCCCAAGTGCTTGGGCCCTGCACCCCATGGGAGACCAGGAAAAGCACCTGGCTCCTGGCTCCTGCCATCGGATTAGCGCGGTGTGCCGGCCGCAGTGCACCGGCCGCGGCGGCCATTGGAGAGTGAACCAACGGCAAAAGGAAGACCTTTCTCTCTGTCTCTCTCTCTCTCACTGTCCACTCTGCCTGTCAAAAAAAAAAAAAAAAAAAAAAAAAAAAAAAAAAAAAACACCCCTTTGGTTGCTCTGCACCAGAGCAAGGAGACAACCCAGTATTTAGAATTTGAAAATTCTATTTCCCTAGATTCCTTTGGTAAACAAACATTTGCTGCCCCTGTGATTGACTTAACTTAGAGATTCCTGTTACCTGAAAGGTCTTTCCAAAACATTTCTCTGATTTGCCCTACTTATTTATTCTCTTCTTAACCTTTGGTTTTTCAATGCTCCTATAATGAATTCAGGGATAGTTGTTTGCCATGGTAAAGACTTGCTCAGATTTGAAATATATAATTTGTCTTTTGGTTGAACATTCATAAAATTTAAGTAAGACAGTCCTTGGTTTATAGGACAATCTAGTAAGAACTACATGGGGTGTGGGTGGAATTACACCCTAATGTCCAGAATACCTGAGAGCATTTTAAAAGCTTCAACCCTGGAGTATAGATATAGGGTTCATTTCAAAACCATAGGTCAGCAGCATGTAGAAACACTTGCTGAGTTTCCCAGGACCCTCTAAATTAATCTGTGGGAGCCCTGACCTCCAACATAATGGTACTCAGAGACATGGTCAGGTTATTAGGTTAAATGAGGTTCTGATGGTCCTCCCATGATGAATAAGAAGGCACACCAGAGATCTTGCCCTCTCTCCACTATGTGAGAACACAGCATGAAGACAGCCATCTGCAAGCCAGGAAGAAAGCCCTCTCCAGGAACTGAATCAGCAAGTGCTTTGATCTTGAACTTCACAGCCTTCAGAGCTCAGAGACAGAAATGTTGATGAAGCCACCCAACCTCTGGTGTTGTGTTATAGCAATCCAAGATTAAGATCCTCTGCTCTCAAGATGATTTTCTCCTCACTGGGTAGGCAGGCAGACACCCAAATGGACAAAGAACATATCTATAGCAGTAATTATGTGATGGATGAGCAAAAAAGACAAGAAATCAAAAGGGAATTCAGAGGAGGTGAGGTGCCCAAGGAAGGAAGCAGTGTTCAGAAAGGTAAAGAATGGTATCATGGTAGAGCCAGTGACCATCTAGTCCAGAGTGTGCAAATATGCCCATGGTAACAGTCAATATTGTTTCATGAAACTTTTATCTCCATTTGTATCTGTATAAATAGATATTTATATATAGATATCCTGGGTCACCTTGAAAAATGTATTTTTAATGTGTGATCACAGCCAAAATTGGCT